AGGAATTGTTGGGGAGGGACAAGAGAGTGAGAGGATGCACAACAGCAAACTCATGGGAGCATTTCTAATAAACAAAAAGCTGAAGAGGAGAATGCAACACGAAGGAACCAGGGTTAAACAGAAAAAGTAGGAACATGGAGAAGAAAAAGATTGTAATAAATGCATGGCAATGTGAACAGGTATAAAACAGTGCCTTTTTTTCCAGAGGAAATCATGTCTGGGAAACTGGCTGCTGGTTAAAAATTGGAAGAATAGAATTTGATCCATTTCTTTTATAAGAGAGGTTATTGAGATTAACTGGAATGAGGAAACTTTCACAGTATGCATTACTTTGGATCAGAAGAATTTGAGAAAAGAGACCATTGAATGTACAAGCAGTTAGGAATCTGTGTACCCTAACAGCATGGGTTTTGAAGAACATAAAAGAAAATGTTCCTTTACATTCAAATCACTTCAAAAATGAAAAGACAATTCAGTTGTCCATATAAAAATCAAAGACAATAAGTATCTTTCATTGTGGCAGATGTCCCAAAGGAAAGCAAGGTGTTTGTGTTAGGTTTTTATAAACTGTTAAGCTCAGAAATGTCCTTTTTTTTCTAACATGCAGATATTTGAAGAATCCCAAGGTGATTTATCCTATGTTTCAAGATTTTATTGCTTTGGAGGAACTAAATTTCTTAGGAAAAAGTGCATTAGGACAAATAGATTGCACTTACTAAACATGACATAATTAAAAATTCATACTTATCATGACAATATTCAACATTTTCTCCAAAATGAAATTTCTTTTCTTTATTCAATCTGGTCGTCTTATTTGTGCAAATGTTTCATCCAATAAAACAAAGTTTTTAGGTGGAACTGATATTTGGGCAAGTTCCTATATGTAACAATTCATGAAATTATTAGACAGCAGGCTATTTTAAAAATTTTGTGGCAGGCCAGTTTTGTGTGTGTGCATTAGCAATAAGTAGTGTAAGAATTTTATATTCAACATTTCATCACTATTAATGAGAATTAGGTTAATCTGTAATCTCATTTTAGACTGAGAAACAGCAAACCAATTAATCTAACGTTTACTTGATGAATGGACTTTGAGCATAAGCTTGTGACAGTAGTAGCTTTCCTCTGTATGGAATACTCATTAAAAATGAGTGTATTGTATCCTAGTTTCATATTACAAATATTTCCAGTAAAAAAATACAAATCAATTCTGTATTTTAGCATCTAACTTGCAGTTTAAATATACTACTGTATCATGTCCTAGATATTCAATTAAAACTGTAGTTTGATCCAGTAGTCTTTAATATTAGTGGTCAAGTACTAAAGGAAGTAAGCTTAAAGACTCATTCTAGAACTACAGTTTATTTCATTCCATGCATCATATATTTTACCAGAGGACTCCTTAATGTAGTAGAAATCAGATTTGGTGTGTATTTTTACACAAAATCAAATTCTAAAGGCGCCATCTCAGACTCCTACAAAACATTAGGAAAGATAAGATTCACTGGTCAAGGAGGCATAAGGATGACATATATTCTAAATTCAAATGCACAATAAGCTTTAGTCAGTTTTGGTTTCTATGTGCTTTTGTCAGTGTTTACTGAATGCAGAGAATCTCTAATGCTCTATTTAAATCTTTAAAGATTTAAAGATTTGGGAGGGGAGGAGCTGGTAATACAGACATAAAATTATCATTGGTTCATTTTTAGCCTCTTTTGTTTATTTAGGTCACTTGGTGAGGCAAAGTGCAGTGCTAATTTTAGAAAGATTTCACAGCTGATTCGGACTTGGGGCTTCAAAATAATGAGTAAAGGAACGGCAAATGTTCCCTGCTACTTGGTCTCCTCTAAGACTGTCTGCTACTGTTTTGGGGTTTTTTTGTCTGTTTTTGTTCTTTTGTTGGGTTTTGGGTTTGTTTAGTTTGGGGTTTTTTTTTGAGGAGACACTCTTTGTTGCATCTCGTTTCCTTAGTCTTCTTGTTATCATTGTTCTTAGTTCAACACATTGTTCAGACTATATAATCTGTAATCCTTATAGTTTATTTGGAGCCCTGGGTTTCTTGTGACTAATTTAGTTCACAGAGCCATGGGTCAAATAAACCCCCAAAAAACTGGAAGACGTGAACATTCTATAAGAAATAAGTGTGTAAGTTACAAAGCAACATTTTAATTTCTTGTTTGTCATACTCTCCTTTTTAATCAATTTGTGTCTGTATAATATAGTGTTAATTTTATTCACAAAGGTAGAAAGAACAAAACCTGATGTGTTCCCCTTGATTAGGATATATTTTGAAGTTCATCCTTCTACTATTTCAACTCAATAATAATCAATCTCTAACTGCTCAGACTCTGCCCTTTTTATTGTCTACACTGTTAAGGAATACATAGGCCTTAGTGATGTTTCCCTATTTCTCTGTCCTTTTTTGCTCAGCTTCTGTAAAATCTTATGACTAAAATAGCTAAAGTAGAGTACTTAAATTCCAGCACTTCTCCTAGAACTTTTTGTGCAAATAGTCCTTGCGAAGCTGGTGATTTTCTAGATGGTTCTGTTATGAGAAGCAGGTTGAGGTGGGGGAAGAAGTACTACTGTGCATAATCCATAATTAACACTGCAACTGAGCTCTGTGCTAACAGCCATAGATAACAACACAGTATCAGAATACCTTGTTCATATTTATAAGACACCACCTAGAGTTTTTCTGTGCTTTGAGTTGTGTAATTTCCCACCTCCTGATAATGTTTTCATTAATTTCTTTGCCGTTTGATATTCTTGTAGGATACTATGGGTACACAAAGGGTAGGAAAGACTTAAATAGATTCTACCCTAGAAAGATTGTAGAGATGGATGGATGCCTTTCTGAGAAAGGAGAGGTTCAGAACAGCATGGATAAAGAGACGATCCCCAGGCAAAAGTTCTCCACGTTCTATGATTATATTGCTGCCATGCTTGGAAAAGGCTTGCAGGAGTTTGGCAATATTTTCTTTGGGCTCTGTTGCCCGAATTTTCCTTATCACGGGGAATAAAATCTTTCTGAGACATTTTGACTGCAGTTACCTGTGGCTTGTACTGGGCTGTAGGGAAGGCAGAACAATCTGCAGTGTGCAGTTAATTTTTGTCATGCTTTGTTTAGTTTTCTGTCATGTAATTGGAATACATGTTATTGAAAGGATTCTTTTTAATGGTCTATGAAGCAAGGTATATTTGAATTTTGCCTCTTATATTTTTTAAACTTTTAAGGAGATACAGAATGGATTCCTGATCCTACTCTATAACTATATATATATATTTGAAAGGTTTCTCTCCTTAGTTTCCAGAATAACAGACTCGCCTACGTTATTTGGAAGGAAATTATAAAATTAAGATCATGCAAATATTGAACTAACAGTATTGCAAATATTATCTGGCAGTAAGACAACTTAAATGTTTTAATAGTTTTGTCTGTTTAAAAAAACCTTGCAGAAAAAGAGAAATTACCTCAAGTTACTTCTAATAGTTTTCAGTAAGATGGAAATTTTTCATTATGCGTTTTGTGAAAATCATGCTGAAAGGTAAAACTACTTTATTTATACAAGTCATTACCAGTATGGAAGTAGAGAGCCCCAGCTAACACACAACAGATTAACACAAATGAACAATGCTTATTTCTAATAATGAGATCAAGATATCTGTCTTGGCAAACAAAAAATGGAAATAGCTCAAAAGAATCCTTTCTTGGCTACCAAGCTTATCAAGAGAATATTGAACCAGTTGGAGGTACATATATATCCATCACCATTGGAATGTATCTCAACAGAATTGTTAAATTTCAGGATGGACAGTGTGTTCATCTCCGGATGCACTTCTGCACCTGTACACATTTTTAGAAGGCTTAATGCATCTATTTGTATTTCATGTCTTGTGTACATAATCTATTTCTCTTTGTTATATAAATAAACTTAGTGTTGTTTCAAAGCCAATGAGCATCATTAATAGAAATAGTGTTTCATATTTGCATGGTGCACAGAGCCAACCAGCACACAATGACTCCCAAATTCTGAAACTTAAGTTGTTCAGTATTCTCTCATGACTGGTTCATATTTAATGTTTCACTATATGCGTTATTTTAAGAGACCAAAGTTATGTCCACCAAGTATTCTATCTTGCTTCAGCATCAAGTTTTAGTTTTTCAATTGCATTGTTAGTAAGGATGACTATTCAAATGTTAAAGAATACAAAAACCTTTCTGATGTATCTGAGGAAATTTTTTGTCAAATTCCACTGTTTCAGCAGAACAATTTTTTCTCCCTACTCTTGGAAAAATCCAACTTACAATACACTTAAGATATATATCACTAATTCCCTAAAGACCAGGTGCCTGTATTGTTCTCATATGATGGATGTTGGTCACATCACCTGCTGCACTACTAGGAAAAACTCAGATAGCCTAGTGAAGAGGGTGAAGTAGGAGCCTGAATCCAGGAAGTATTTCCTGTAGAATAATTAGCAGCTTGTCTGCTCTATTATTTTCTCTCTACCATCCTTTTATCTGAATAGGTTTTGGGTTTATTTTTTCCTTTCCTTTTTTCTTCAGAAGTGTAAAAAGAGAGAAGCAACACCTATCTGACATAATGTAAAGCATGCAAGCTCAATTTAATGTACTAACAATATGCTAATGCTAATTTTTTTCTGTTTCTTTTAGACATGAAGTGCTGTCAGGGTTTTGCATCTCACAAAACTGTCAGTTTTAATGCTGGCAATGAACAGAAGTCTTTATCTTGACTGAAAAGGCAATATATTTTTTTATATAAGTTAAACAGTCACTGTTCCTAGCTTGTGTTTCCAGTGAAAAGTAGCATTTTGATATCTTAGGCAGATCATTCTAATAGGTGTGTCTCAGATATTTTTAGCAGATTAAGGCCATTCTCAATGCACAGGAAAGAATTTATTATTTAATTAGTATGTCCCCTTGAGAGGTTCAATAGGAGCCCCTTTCACTGGTGACCATTGTTATCTGTGTCAAGGTGTGATATACAGTATATTATATGAATTACACTTCTGTCAGCAGATTATATTGGGGAATAGTTTAAAAAAAAAAAAAAAAAAATCCATGACTTTAAACCTGTGCTTTTATGTAATGAAATGTAATGGTTTAGTTGCATGGCTAGGAATGTTTTAAAATAGGACTTGTATGTGGTTAAGGACTTACACTGGTGACAAGCACACTAGAAATAAAGCAAAAGCACCAGCAGAAGGTCTGAGCTAACAGGCACAGCAGGCACATCTGCCTCACATGTTCCAGGAAAGGCAAAGCAAGTCACAAAAGAAAAATAGACTGGCAGATAGGGCAGAGAAGACCATTGTTTCCAGTCTTCTCATGAAAATTGCATATAGCAGACATATTTGCAAAACAATTTCTTTGAAGTTCCATGTCTTATAAGGGAGTAATTTCCCTCAGCCTGGAGTAAACTGGCTTTTGAATGCTCAGCACAAATGCATGCTGATTTTTAGTTATGTTCTAGTACAGCTCATAGCTATTATATGATAATTTTCATTTTCACTCTTTGTCCGTGCTTCCCAAAATGTGCTTTTCACTATTTGTGTTTTACTTCCTAAAGAGGATTTAAGGGATAGAGCTAGTCTGGAATAATAACTCCCCCTTTCCTTGCTGCCCCCTGACCTGTCACACCAAAGTTGATATTACAGTTGAAACCTTAGCTCTGTGATGTGGGTGGTTTTTCCTAAATTGATGAATGAATAACATGACAAGCATAATCTGATTTATGGAGAGACAAAATTGATAATTTTGGGATCAGTGGTCAGATGTGTAGGTTTTTTATCTTAAAACCAGATACATAATCTTGCAGTATATTTATATGTCCATTACAAGGCAATACAATAATACAAAATGAAGAATTTTCAGTCTTTTTCTTGCTGCCTTTGTGTAATACCTAGACAAATCTTTGAGATTTTTGAATAGAATATGAGGGGGAATTGTCCCCCTTATAAAAGCTATTGTTGTAGGGCTCAGTGCTTTTAGGAGTCAAGGAGTAAAAATCTTGCAACAAAACAAAAACATTTAAGAACACTGTTTATTGTATTCTGTTGGCTAAAACTGCCAAAAATAAATTAATAGCTGTTACCACTGCAGTGCTTTTTTTGTTCACAAGAAAAATACCTTGACATATTTTTTCATTCTGTGATTGGTGCACATTTCAAGGGTATAAATTAATCTTCAAAGGATCCTAGGGAATATCTTTCCTGGACACTTCACTTATACATCAAGTTGGCCATGTTAGCAATCTAATCACAATCCTGTAATTCAGTGGACAACAATTCCTTATTGTGAACAGCATAGCAGCTTTTACTATCATTTAGGTCAGCCTAAGATTGCTGATGCACCATATGTTTCAGGCCATGGATGATGGATGGTATCCTCTGGTGCCCATCCCTAAGTGATTGGAAAGATTGAAGACACACAGTTCACTTAAGCTTGCTTACTATTACATCAAGTAATCAGTGTGATAGGCAAACCTGTGCTCTCTGTGTCACACTGCCCAACTTTCTGCAGGGACATTCTGTCAAAAAAACAATCTAAGAACATTTCCAGATGACAGGCCAGTTACTAGAACAACCATTTAACAACTGGATTAATCTAAAAAGCTTAATAACATGGAAAAGTCAATACATGTTTTTAAAACACCTTTATTTATATGAACCAGACGTGGTGTTTTGTTTTCAAAGGGTTTTTTATTTCAAGATTGAACTTATGCAATCAAGGTACAATAAAGCAGTCCTTGTCATAGTTCAGCCTCTAGTATGTCAAAACATAGTGTTCCTAATGTTAATCAGAGAGACTATTTTGAGATAATATTAAATGCTTTAGAAGTTGTTTACAGTTTTGTGTTTACAAACAATTAATATCAGTTTAAAGTTTAAGACTGAAATATTTTTTTTATTTCTTAGTGCCTGTCTCTACTGACAGCACTCAGTGTTCATTTTCCTCAACTCTGTTCCACCAGTATCAAACCCAGGAAATTGAGAGCATCTTCTTTTTTATGGGGTCGTACTGTGCTGAAGAGTCTTTTATATGATACAGGAGGAAAAACCTAGATAATTCTCTAAATCTCATTTTGCATAGAAGTCCTGCAAGGCTTGCAGCATTTGTGCCAGCAGTCAGAATAGATCCAGCCAAATAATATCAACTGAGATGTTTAAAATGTTACAATTTAAAACTGCTACTCATGTATGTTATTGTAAAAATGGTAAAATAACTGAGTTGAAAGCTGAGTACATAGGTCGTAGTATCTGTATGCCACTTCAACCATGAAAAAGAAGCTAGGCAGTTCTGTGAATTTAAAAGTCAGAATTTCAGGGCAGGCTTCCTCTTGTCACTCTTTTGATAGATGACACACTGAATTCCATAACCAGACAATTTAGGCAGCAGCCTCTAAAGTAAATATTAAACTAAGGTAATGGAAAGAAAAAGCTATTCTGAAAAAAAGAGTTTGGGGAGTAGTGATTAACACTGACTTTAAAACCGAGGCTGTCAAAGAATTGGGGAGTAGATGTGTTGGTATTAGCAAGACTCATCACTACAGAACAGAAAATGTTAGAAAACTGAATAATTTCTGTAGACAGTGTCTGAAGACATGAACCTGGCCTTGTTGGAACTGAGGTTTTTGCAGTCAATGACACTTTGGTTGCTTACTGAGACACTTCCTAGGGAGAGATGTTTACTGCTTTGCTGTAACTTGTTCTGCTCTGAGGATGCTCACAGTGGAGCACTGGAACTGGGAGAGTAACCCAGAGTGTAGTCTACAAGTGAATGTCAGGATGAATTGAGGCATTTCAAATATAAAATGCACTACACAAGAATAGTTCATCTGGAAGGAGTCTATGACAATTGTTTAGTCCAGGACACTACTTTGGCCTTGTCAATGAGGGAGAGAGACCTATAATTAAGGAGAAAGTACTTTAAATATCCAAAAACATACTTTTCTTCAAAGGACAGTTGAAGATAGTGAATGAGAGTAACTTGTGGAAAGTTGCTTTAGCGACCCCGTTAGCCAACTATGCTAATAGGAGCTTTAACTAAAATACATGGCCCAGTATCAAACTGATGTAATCTGAAAAATTCTTTGTGGAATTTTTTGCTTTTCTAAAATTGGAAATGTCAGTCAACGTGAGAAGTGTAGAAGGGACTGGGTCATAGTATAGTATTTGGCTCCTGGTTGGACTTCCAAATGAAAGAGGCAGTACAGCCTCAGCCAGTGTGAATCACAGGCAGCTGTGAGAACCCCAGGCAAAGGAATCTTCATCTCATACTGTGAAGAGAAGTCACTGCTCTTGCCTGAATTGTGCCCCACAAGTCAGGATTGTTTATGTGGCTGTAAGCACTTCATATTCATATGAGGCAGTCTTTTCCTAAAAAATAATATTTATTAAATATCACAAACATGGTGATAAATATTCAATTTCTGCTAAAATTAAATGTGCTATAATCATTCTCAGGCTTTGCAAAGATGTATTCTATGATATCTGTAGCATCACATCAGTTAAGAATAGAACCGCCCCCAAGTCATCAGGAAGACAGGATTTATATTTTGGAAAGAATAAATTAGTTCATTTCTGAGGGAGGCAGCACAAGTAGATTTTTGCTCTTTTGCATAGCAGGGATTTTGCTGTAGCTTTTAAATGAGGCATTTCTCCCTGAACAATCAGCCCTATCACTGCAATAAGAACCCTGTGATAAAACTGATTATATTTTTTCAGTCACCACAGTTAAATAGAAAAGAGGTTAAGCTTTTAACTGCTGCAATCTGCCACCCTTTTAAAATCGTATAAAGATGGCAGACACTTATGTTAAACACAGTGGATTGTTGGTAAAGTTAACCGTGTGCATCCAAAAGTGGCAGAATATGGACTAAGGTGCAACCTCAATCTGCGCTGTAATAAAGTAGCTGTTCATCTGTGGTCAGAGATCGTCATGAAAGACCTTGAGTTCCTTCACTTTATTTTGCAGAAAGGCCATCAGACAGCTTTGCATCATCTAACTCTATCAATCAAGGACCTCAACCACTGCTTTCTGCTGAAAGCTTTCCTGTTTGGCTCTGTTTTTCACAGACAGCTCAATAACTTGTCTGTGGAGCTGTGATAAATGTACCATGTGCTTCTAAACTGTCTCTTTAACACTGAACTGAATTTCAACTCATAGTGCTTGTAACTAATTGTTTTCATCAGAAACGTTGCTTTTTTTACCAATTATTATTCCAAAGGCTTTGATTATCTATTTTTTTTTCCTGTTATCCTATGGCAAAGGTAACATTTGAAAGCTACCTTGCATACAATGGACTGCAAGAAAAACTAGATTTTACTCAGTGAATTAGCTACCTAGTATAAAGAAAAAAATTAAAGGGGAACTGTATGAACAAGTATAAATCCCTCATATCTTTTTAGACAATTATGTATGAAGACCAGTGTTTCCTTGCCTCTGATTTGTGAACCTGTCCTAAGTGAAATTCAAAAGAGAAGACTGAAATTGAGTGCAGTTTAAGGACTGAGAAAATACGATGACTTATAACAAAACACTTGTAAAATCTGTTGTAGTAATTAAGGTCCTAAACAAGAATACAAGTAAAAGATTTATGTTTTGGGTTATTAGACATTTTGGAGCTTATATGCAGAGAAACTGTTTCTTTGAAATAAAAAAAAATGATCACAGTATGTTTATTACTGTAATAATGTGCAAGTTCTACTTAGAGAATTCACAGCTGATTAGTTCATTCAAGTTGCAGAAGTGTAGTACACATTCAGAATCAGAATAAAACAATCTTTTCAAGGAAAAGTGGCATATGTAATTTCCTAAAACAAAAGCCACAGAGAGCAGAAACTGTTCTGAACACATGGATGTGGCTCTTATCAAGCATAATTTTGCTAGAAGACTGGCAACTAGGGCTTTGATTTTTTGGCCTGTATTTGGATAAAACATACCAAGATGAAGATCCAGTTTCTAGTTTTCTTTGTAGTGATTTTA